GCTGTATTCCAGTAATTAAAAACAGATTGTGATTTTTTGAGAGAATTATTTGATGTGGCAAGAGGTGGCTAGTAGTACCTTGAAGCACTGCTCTTTTTGATGGCAATTCTAATGGAAATTGGTGCCACAGATTATGGGTAGCAGCAGCTCCTGATTCTATTTTCTGGAGTAGTAAGAAATAATACTTTTGATGTCACGGTGGAGAGTGAGAGCAGCAGCAGAGTCTCCAGGTTCAGATGTGAGGATATTCTGTCGGAAGAAAGTGTTTCTCTGACAGATCGATGAAAACTGATCTTTGGCTTGACAGGAGAAGAAAGAATCGTTTTGAATAAAATTCATCGTAACAAGATTCGACTGGCTTTCTTCTGAAAACAACCAACGAACCAACAACGATGGCACGATTCAAACTAGACGTACAAAAGAGACAGCACAGGGAACGATCGCAGCCCCTGCAGAGGGCGAGACTGGGTCTGCTAGAGAAGCATGCAGACTATGTGAAACGGGCGAAGGATTACAACTCCAAGAAGGACCGGCTGCAGAAGCTTCGACTCAAGGCGAGCCTCAAGAACCACGATGAGTTCTACTTCAAGATGATCAACTCCAAGACCGTCAAGGATGTCCACTACAACTTCAATAAAACTAATGTCCCCCTCGATAACCAACTAGTCAAGCTCTTGAAAACTCAAGACTTCAATTATGTCAAAACTTGTAGGGCAATCGAAGAGAAGGTGAGTCTCATCATCCTAAATAGCAACGAGCCACACTGAACTGAAACGAAAAAAAATAAAAACCCCGTTCTATCTAGAAAATCATCAAGATTAAAGAGCGGCTAGGACCGATGATGATCCGACTGAAGTCTGAAGATTCCGGCGCAACATCAGAGCTACAAGAACAAGCCATTCAGCTCATCAACCAAAGTATTACCGCCACCAGCGCCAGAAAATCGGACCCGGAAATAGACGATGAGCAGAATAATCATGCAGTTGTCAAGCCCGGCAAGAAGACCATCTTTGTGGATACAGTCGAAGAAGGTAACCACAATTATGTCTCCTTATCTATCAAACTTAACTCAACACCCCTTTTACTTCTTTCTTTCTTTTTTTGTGGACAGTTAAAAACTTTAGTCTAAATTCGTTTGGGAAAAAAACCAAGAAAGACAAGACTCAATCTACCAGTAAATCGGAAGCCAAGGAATCCAAAAGCGGGTCCAAATTCACGGAAGTATTCTCGGATGCTGAAGACCAAATGACACCAGATCCGGAGGTACAAGGTTTTACCCTGTGAACACCAAGTAGCCTTGCAGCGCCCAGAAAGCTGATATAATTTTTTTTTCCCCCTGGGTATACAACATGATGATGAATGTTTCCAGAAACACATGCGAAAGCTGATGAGGGAATTAGAGACGAGATTGACACGATTGAAAGTGTTACAAAGGGCGGAGAGGGAGTTAGAGCTGAAGAAATCGCTGATGGGAAAGGGGTCCAAGTTCCTCAAGTTCCGACCCACGGACCCGAAGCCCAACAGGCAGGATATAAATGGTCGCGACCTCAGCTGGTACGATAAGTTGGACAGGAACCAGATCATCGAGGATGACCTCGAACGCGAACGGCTTCAGAAAATTAACGCCGGAATTAAAACTGGCGCCCAGGTTTGGGTGCGCTAATTGCTTCCCTCTTCCTCTCTCTCCTCTTCTTCCTTCCCATTAACCCTTCGTTCTCTTCTTCTCATTTTTGCTATCTAGAAATGGAAACAAGAACGTAAAAAATGATCCGTCTCAACCTTTTCTCGTCTTGTTTGGTCACGAGTCTCTTGAAAAACAACAACAACAGGGAAATTTTCGTGTTCTATATTGTAATTTGGGGACTTGCATCTATCTTCCAATAACCATGCCAAAAAAGCATGAAAGTTCAGCTCTTCTTTTTTTTTGAACTTATGTGAACCCGAGGAGGTTAAAAGAACGATTGATAGAGTTACACTTATTCGAGCATAATAAACAATTTGTTCTTGATTAAAGCATTGATAATCACCGTGGTACCACGGGGGAAGTAACTCTGCCTACGGAAGAAATGATTTCAATTTTTTGATTTTTGTTTTTCGAATCGAAGAAGAGCTTCGAGGATGGCGGCAAGCAAGAGGCTGACGATTCGACTGAGCTACGATATTGTAAGGTGAGATTCTGGTAAGAACAGCGGGATGAAGAAGAAGATGAGCTGAATAACAGGGTTTTCCCGGTGGCACATGGACAGTCCTTGGGTGAGTACTTGACAAGACCTCTGTGATCTGATGGTATACTGATCCTGTTCTGTTTGGGTCTAACTTGCGATGGGGGATGCCCGGTTGATTCAACAAGAGCTACTTCGCGTATGTGGTCCTGAAGCGGTACCGGCCCATCTGGGATTTCGACCTGGCGCTCAACCCCGTCTGGCTTGGCGGTACGCATCCAACACACACACACACACGCCATCCCATTAACGTGTCGTCATACTTTCCTCACCCCCTCCTGCATCATCTTCTACTACTCTTCTTCTTCTTTTTAATTCAGGCGTCATCAGCGCTAGCAAGAACGTTCCCCCCTTTGCCGTGCCCAATAAATGTCAGCCCCCTCATCTCTCCGCCCAACATATTCATACATATCTGCCTCAAAAAAAAAAAGAAGCTGATCGCTTTCCCCTTTTTCTGATATTTCTAGTCCAGAAAATGGTGTGATATGTCCCCGTTTTATTTAGCATCTCAAGATGGCTCACCACAAGCTCAATATGCAATCTGTTTGGTCGACGAGAAAACTAACTTTGGTACCAACACCCAACGGTCTTTGTCTTCTTCTGTTGGTCTTGGGTATTCTGCGTGGATATTGTAGCTCGAAGAAATTCCTCTCGTGAGTCGTCCCCCATTCTCTTCCCCGCATCTATCATGCATCCTTTTGACCCACCCCTCCCAAAAACAAACCGCGGAATAAATAAAGATGTCCAACTTCTTTGGAGGTAGGCCCTTTCAATAATGAAATGTTGGACCAAAAAAAAAAAAAAAAACTAACTAAAAACTAGAGGATTCTTACCGGGGGCGATTTGGCAGTGAAATGTATGCTACCACAAGGTCCATTCCCTTTCAACACGCTCCAAATCATGCGTTTCTTGAAGGTAGTGCAGGAGAAAGAGCCCAACTCACTACTGGAGGGAATGACGGACAAGTTATATGCAAGTTGCACGTTCTTTTTTCTTTCTTGACCAAAACAAAACGGACGGGGTGACTGAAACCCGGGTTTGCAGGAGATGATATTCGATCAGCAGGTGAAGGTGGAGGAGGTGTTCGAGGCCTTATCGTCGGGCCCATTGGAGGCGACCAAGGTGGCCGAATATGTGGAGCTCTCGCGACGCCAGGAGACTAAGGAGGCCGTCAAGCTCGACGCCGAGCGGCTGGTCAACCAGGGCGCGTTCGGCTTCCCGTGGCTCGAAATCTTCCCACCCAACCTCGACCACCTAATTACTCCTGCTCTCACCATCTTCGGTTCCGATAGATTCGAGTTCTTGGCTCATTGGTTCGTCTCCACATCCCATCCCGGAAACTTCTTTTTTTTTTTTTTTTTTTTTTTTTTTTTTTTTTTTTCTTTGTCTCCCATGTTTATTTTGTCGATGGTTTCTCAAGGCTCGGAAAAGAATGGAAAGGCCCTAACCCAGCCACAGAAGAGCCTCCCAAAAGCCGTCTATAGCTAATCCAAAACCTCCTCTCTGATTGGTTAACTGATGATGTGTAGTGCGAAATAAGAAGAGTTTGGATCACTTCATCATTAGAGGCCCGACACCGCCTGTGTTCTCTCCCCCCTGTTCTTTTTTTTCTTCTTGTATTTTCATAGAATGCCTGCTACAGCCCAGGCCGACGACCCAGGACAATAAGTGACGTGTGATTTTAAACTCACCTCTTTCTTCTTCCATGACGAAGCTCCGACGGGATGAAAAACAAAAGAAACTGCTGCTCCTGATTTTCAATCCATGGGACTAAGTGGTGCCATCAAACAACAGGTCTCCCCCCCAAAAAATAAATAAATAAAAAAATAAAAAAACACAGAAGAAAGTAGGAGGG